TTTTTTGAATATATTAAAATGAATGTTAAATTTGTTTTAAAAATAAATTTAAATAATAAAAAATTTTAAAAAGAAAATTTAATATAAAACAGTTTGCAAGTTTAGTACATTTTTTGTTATTTTCCTAGGAAAATCTCTAGAGTAGAGATAGAAAGTCCTTGGATTTTTTGCAAAGGTTTGTGAACTGAAAGGTATAAGAAATATGTTTAAATACTACCTCCTTCTTTCTCTTCCTGCCCCTAAATGGCAGAGGCCTTATTTTATTGTAACCTTTTTTTTCTTTTTCTCCCCTCCCCTCCTTTTTTTTTTTTAAAAGGCTGGTGGGGTAGCAGGTGCCTCTGTTGACTTGATATTATTTCCTCTGGATACCATTAAAACCAGGCTGCAGAGTCCCCAAGGATTTTATAAGGCCGGTGGTTTTCGCGGAATATATGCTGGTGTTCCTTCTGCTGCTATTGGATCCTTTCCTAATGGTAAACATGACATTGATATTCTTATTGCTATAAAGCCAAGATAATAGGATTTATTTTCAGAATGGTATGAGGGGGATACATAGTTCCTTCTGTGTTGTAACTAATCTTCTGATTTTATTTTCCATTGTTTAACCTACAATTTTTGAATAGGTAACACTGGGGATTCCCTTATAGTATCTTTGTAATAGAAAAACAATTTCCCAGCGACTCAGGAAGCTGAGGTAGGAGAATCACAAGTTTGAGGCCCATGTGGGCAACTTAGCAAGGCCTTGACTTAAAGTGAAAAAGGGTGGAGATGTAGCTCAGTGGTAGAGCACCTCTGAATGTAGTCCCCAGTACAGAGAGAGAAACAGGAACAACCTTGCTTGCATATTGGAATCTCCTGGGCTTTAAACAATACTGATGTCTGTGTTTCACCTTCAGAAATAGGTTCTGGGTCTTGTCTGACAATCAGCAGTTTTTGTTAGCTTCCCAGGTGATTCTAGTATGGAGCCAAGTTGGATAACTTGGACTCTTCTGATCACTGAAGAGTTTAAAATACTTGGAGATTCTTGTGTAGCAGGTGAGCTCAATATTTTAGTCTTTTAATTGTAGTTAGATGATGCAGGTGTTTTTTACAGGCTTCCACCTGATATTCTGATTTCAGCATCTTTTTTTTTTTTTTTTTTGTACCGGGGTTTGAACTCGGGGGCACTGAGCTACATCTCCAGCCCTATTGTGTATTTTATTTGGAGACAGGGTTTTACTGAGCTGCATAGCGCCTCGCTTTTGCTGAGGCTGGCTTTGAACTTGCGATTCTCGTGTCTCAACCTCCTGAGCTGCTGGGATTACAGATGTGCAGGTGTGAGCCACTGCTCCCCGCTTTCAGCATCTTTGTTTTGGTTTTGAAGTCATGTGACTTATGGCCCTCTTATTCTGCAACAGTATAATCTGTTTTATGGGATCTACTTCTTGGTACCTGTCTTGCTGATACTTTTCTCATTTCAGTTGTTTATTTTGCAGTGCTAAGGATTGAACCCAAGCCTCATGCATGCTGAGCAGGTACTCTGCCACTGAGCCACATCCCTAGCTGGTGATGAATGCTTCTTGTGGCACTGAAAATAAACTAAATCAATAATAACAAAAAGGCACACAATACACATCCATAAAATCATAGTCCTAGGAGATTCTTAAATTCTGGGTTTTGATTTATTTTTTCAGGATAATTCATAAGAAATTTTTCCTCTTAGGTTAATCTGACCTTTAAGTGCCAGATCTGTGAGCATATCATTCATATAAAGATTGTACCACAAATAATAGTATCTCTGTCCTTTTGTTTATTACTTCCCCTTCTCCTCGCCCAGCAGCCTGTTGAACAGCAAGCTGTTTTGGGTTTATCTTGACTTTTTGTATGCCTTAATACTTTGAGTAATTGGTTATAACAAGTTATTATTGAGCACCTATTCCATGTCAAGCATGGCTCTAAGGGTGTGAGGGGCATGGATATGAACCAAGTTTGTCCATATTGGACTCACCTGATCACTGAAGAGTTTAAATACTGATTCCTGTGGCTCACCTCAGAGGTTATGATTTAATCCATCTGAGGTATGTCCTGGTCATTGGTGGTTTTAAAAAATTCCAAGGCGATTCTAATATGCAGACAAATTTAAAAACCTTTGAGCTAGGGAATTGTACAGGAATATGTCACTAAGTCCCTATCTTTTGGTCATAGGTTTATTTGGTTTTCTCCTTCACCTATACTCATTGTTCTTTAGATCTTTGTCTCTTACATATTACACAAAAGCATTCCTGTGGGTTAGGTATAGTATTAGTTGTAGTCTTAGAGTACATGATGCTGTCTCAATGATCACAGGATTAGTTTACATTCTTTACTGAGGATTTACATACAGAATGTGGTTTTGAACTTGTGTGTGGGGGTGTGTGTGCAGAATGGGGGCAGTGGTATCTTTTTTGCCTTTCTTGCTTTTTTTGCCATCCACACAACTTCAGCAGATGGAGGGTGCAAGAGAAGTCAAAGTTTTTTTTTTTATTCTTTTGCTGTCTTCCTACAGATTTTGAATGAATTGCATTTTCCTTTCTGCTTTCTTTTGTCTTTAACTGTTGGTTAAGGTTCTAGTCTAGGTACAGATTGCCACTGTAATCATCAGAGCTGAGGGGTTGGCATGGAGGGGACAGAAGATTGAAAGACCCATATTGAAGGCCCACATTTAGGAGCCTTATTCCCTTTATTTTTATTAATTTTTTTTGGTGTAGATGGACATAATAGCTTTATTTATTTTTATGTGGTGCTGAGGATGGAACCCAGTGCCTCACACTTGTGAGGCAAGTGCTCCACCACTGACCTACAGCCTCAGCCA